GAAATTCTGGGCTGGAAGTTCTGTTCTTTAAGGATGTTGAATATCGGCCCCCACTCTCTTCTGGCTTGTAGGGTTTCTGCTGAGAGATCTGCTGTAAGTCTAATAGGCTTCCCTTTGTGGGTAACCTGACCTTTCCCTCTGGCTGCCCATAGTATTTTCTCCTTCGTTTCAACCCTGGTGAATCTAACGATTATGTGCCTTGGGGTTGCTCCTCTTGAGGAATATCTTTATGGTGTTCTCTGTATTACCTGGGGTTGAATATTGTACTGCTTTGCTAGATTCGGAAACTTTTCCTGAATAATATCCTGAAGAGTATTTTCCAGCTTGGATTCATTCTCTTCGTCGTATTCAGGTACACCTATCAAACGTAAATTAGGTCTTTTCACATAGTCCCATATTTCTTGGAGACTTTGCTCATTCCTTTGTATCCTTTTTTCTCTATTCTTGTCTTCTCGTTTTATTTCATTAAGTAGGTCTTTGACCTCTGATATCCTTTCTTCTGCTTGATCAATTCAGCTATTCAAACTTGTGCATATTTCGCTAAGTTTTTGTGTTGTGTTTTTCAACTCCGTTAGTTTATTTATATTCCTCTCTATATTGTCTATTCTTGTTAGCATTTCGTCAAACCTTTTTTCAAAATTCTTAGTTTCTTTACATTGGGTTAGAACAAGTTCTTTTAACTCCAAGATGTTTCTTATCATCCACCCTCTGAAGCCTACAGTTTTGTGACACTCTGAAGGAAATAGAGTGATAGAGAGTCAATGTTCAAGGGGTTACTTTAGAGAAGATACTCAGGGAAGACCTCACTGAGGAGTGACATTTAAGCAGAAATCAGAAGGCTGAGGAAAGCCACTCCTTCAAATAGTAGCAGGCGTGGTTGGGGTAGAGGGTTCGTTCTAGGCAGTGGAAACAGCAAGTATAAAGACTCAGAGACGGGGAAACCCTGGGCATGTTAGAGTGACCAGATGACGCCCACGTGGCCCTAATAAGGGGAGACTGTTTCCCAGAGAAGTTAGGCATGCTGGTGAGCATCCCATCTCCCCTCACTCTGTCATCTTTTCATGCTGATTCTTTCCTAAACGTGCATGTGCGGAGTACTTCTTTCATAAAGCCCTTCTCACTATTGTAATTCCCACTGCACCTCACTTTTACCATTAGTCAGAATATAATGTGGACAGTTGTTTTCAGGACAATGTTCTCCGATAGACCGTGAGCTTCTGTCAGAAGATATCTTATTCACCTTTGGCGTCCCCAGCTTATAGCACAGTGCTGTATATGGCAGGCACATCATAAATGTTGATTCAATAAATGTATTTTTTTTTTTTTTTTAGGGAGAAAGAGAAAGAAAAAGAGGGAAAAAAGAGGGAAAAAGAGGAAAAAAAGAGGGAAAAAGAGAAAAAGAGGGAAAAAGAAATATTACTTCATTCCTAAAATGGGTATCAATAATGGCTGATCAATATTTTGTGTGTTTAAAGTGGATAATGTATATTTTGTGTGTTTAAAATGGAGAGCTCTATTGAGTTTATTTGTTCTGGTTCTGAGTTCAAGTCCTGGATATCATTATCAATTTTCTGTCTCGTTGAATCTAAATCTCATTATGGGTCTTATGTATCTGGGTGTTAAGATCTCTTATTATTACATTAATCCTTTTACCCTTGTATCCTTGTAGCTTTGAAATCTATTTTATTAATTGTGAGAATTGCAACTCCTGCTTTTTATTTATTTGTTTTTGCTCTCCATTTGGTTGGTAAGTTTTTTTCCAACCCTTTATTTTGAGTCTTTGTATATCTTTAGATATACCGTTAGATTTTGTCTGTATCTTTTGATTGGGGGATTTAGTCGATTTAAATTTAGGGTTACTGCCATTTGATATTAACTGGCTATTTTATCCTTTTGTTGATGTAAATTCTTCTTTATGTTAATGCTTTTTACTTTTTGGTATATTTTTAGAAAGGCTCATACTGGTTGTTCCTTTCTATGTATAATACTTCTTTTAGAAGTTCTTGTAAAGCAGGCCTCGTGATAGTAAAATCTCTAAGTACTTGCTTGTTCCTGAAAGATTTTATTTTTCCTTCAATTGTAAAGCTTAAATTGGCAGGATATGAAATTCTGGGCTGAAAGTTCTGTTCTTTAAGTATATTGAATATTGGCCCCCACTCTCTTCTAGCTTGTAGGGTTTCCGCTGAGAGATCTGCTGTAAGCCTAATAGGCTTCCCTTTATGGGTAACCTGATCTTTCCCTCTGGCTGCCCTTAATATTTTCTCCTTCGTTTAGATCCTGGTGAATCTAACAATTATGTGCCTTGGGGTTGGTCTTCTTGAGGAATATCTTTGTAGTATTCTCTGTATTGCCTGGGGTTGAATAGTGTCCTGCTTTGCTAAGTTGGGAAAATTTTCCTGGATAATGTCCTGAAAAGTATTTTCCAGCTTGAATTCATTCTCTCCGTCACATTCAGGTACACCGATCAAACGTATATTAGGTCTTTTCACATAGTCCCATATTTCTTGGAGACTTTGCTCATTCCTTTGTATCTTTTTTTCTCTATTCTTGTCTTATCGTTTTATTTCATTAAGTTGGTCTTCAACCTCTTATATCCTTTCTTCTGCTTGATCCATTAGGCTATTTAAGCTTGTACATATTTCGCTAAGTTCTCGTGTTGTATTTTTCAACTCCGTAAGTTCATTTGTATTCCTCTCTATATTGTCTATTCTTTTCATCATTTCATCGAACCTTTTTTCAAAGTTCTTAGTTTCTTTACATTGGGTTAGAACAAGTTCCTTTAACTCCCAGAAGTTTCTTATCATCCACCTTTTAAAGCCTACTTCAGATAATGGAACACAGTCCTTTTCCATCAGGACTTGTTTTGTTGCTGATGAGTCCTTTTCCACCAGGGCTTGTTCGGTTGCTGATGAGTCCTTTTCCATCAGGGCTTGTTCCGTTGCTGATGGGTTCTGATTTCGAGTATACTCGGCCTTCTTAGGCTGTTTTTTTCCCTTCATTGTAGATGAACCGCCTTTCTAATTAGGTTTCTGAGTCGAAGTCCGACTTATTGATTCCCAGTGCTGGGATCCGAGCAACCCACTGTGGCAGCCTAAATAGCAGCGATAAGACTGATGGTGCTCTTCTGCCCGGGAATCTCTGGTCTGGCTTCCCTCTTGAGTCTGCAACAAGCAGCTCTGATTTCCTGGAGCTCCTAACTCCGGTCAGTAGGGGAAGCAGTCCCGTTTACTCTGCATGAAGAGCTGCTGCGCCGAGAAGCCGGCAAAACCGCTGCTGCGGCCACAAGAGTCGCGCTGGCGACCCGTGGGGCTCCTCCACTGGGAATCAGCTGATCCGTGAGTGACGAAAATTCGTCTAAAAGTGTGGTGTCGTCTCGTTCTCTGAGCTTTCACTGGGAGCTACAATCCCGAGTTGTTAGTGATCAGCCATCTTGGATCGGTCTCAATAAATGTATTTTTTTAAGCAGTTCATGCTTAGACCCTCCTTTTCAATAACTTTATAACCTCTCATAGATAATATTTTCATGGTATTTAAACCATGAGGGTAAAGAAAACCAGCAACCTAGAGGAATGTGTTTGCTTAAGACTTGTCTCCAATGCTGAAAAGGAAAACCAGGGAGGTAGTGTAATGTGCTGTTATTCTGCTGTGAGTTGAATGGTGGTCCCAAAAAATATATGTCCATATCCTCACCCCTAGAATCTGTGACTGTGACCGTATTTGACAAAAGGGTCTTTGCAGATTTATTTAAGATAATACTAGATTATTTGTACAGACCCTAAATCCAATGACAAGTACTCTTATAAGAGACAGAAAAGGCAAAGACAGACACAGGGGAATGCCATGGGAAGATGGAGGCAGAGACTGGAGTTGTAGTTAAAAGCCAATGAGCAGTGCCTGGAACCACCAGAAGCTGGAAGAGGCAGAGAAGGATTCTCCTCTAGAGCAGCCATCCCCAACCTTTTTGGCACCAGGGACTGGTTTCATGGAAGCAGTTTCATACAGGGAAATGCAGGGGGATGGTTTCAGGATGAAACTGTTCACCTCAGATCTTCAGGCATTAGATTCTTATAAGGAACATGCAACCTAGATCCTTCGCATGTGCGGTTCACAATAGGGTTCATGCTCCTATGAGAATCTAATGCCACCACTGATATGACAGGAGGCGGAGCTCAGGCAGTAATGCTGGCTTGCCTGCTGCTCACCTCCTGCTGTGAGACCTGGTTCCTAACAGGCCACGGACCATGACTGGTTCATGGCTCAGGGGTTGGGAACCCTTGCCCTAGAGCCTTTGGAGGGAGTACAACCCTCCTGACACCTTTATTTTGGATTTCTGGCTTCTAGAACTGTGAGTGAATATGTTTTGAGCTGCTAATTAGGAAACTAATACATACCCCATTGCGCTTATATCTCACTTACCCATTCTGTAACATGGATATAGTAATACCTCTCTCAGAAGCTTAGCACCAGAATTAAATGAGGTATGTTTGTATGGTACTTAGCACATAGTAAGTGTTCAAAAATAGTGATGGCTGTTCCTCTTCTCTAAGGACTAAGGGTTTTCTTCTTCTTGAATAAGAACTCAACAATAGAGTGGGAATTATCTGTGATTGATTGCTTGGTGAGTCAAAGCTCACACCATGGATTTAACTGGAGAGCTTCAATTTCTGTTTTGGCCCTGAAGCTCCCATTCCCTGGTGTCTTCTAGCAGTTCTTAGTTAAAGTTTTGTATCAAGAGAGGGTTCAGCTTTCTCCCATGGGCAGGGGGAAGAAGTCAAAGTAGAGCTCATGTACCAAATTTGAAGGGAAACACTCAGAAAAAACTTCTGAGTGCACAGCAGAAATCACCCTCTCAGTCCCCGCCAAAGACAAAGGCTTTGGGTTCTACATTTCTAGTTTCCATTAAGGGATTCTGGGACTGGACATTTTTGAAAATTAATGACCTGTACTGAGTAATCCTCCTAACACAGTGATCATCAAAAAATTCCCTGTAATGAGTTTAGGCTTTCTCTGAATGCCTTCATGGGAGTGTGCAGCAGGAAGACCGCACTGGAGCACTGAGGACACTTGATCGTGCGGCGTGCAGGGTACGGAGCCCCCGCTGCCTCCCTGCAGGATGACTGGCACTGTGCTTGGAGTCGGTGTGGGTGTCTTCATCTTGGCCCTGCTCTGGGTGTCAGTGCTGCTGCTGTGTGTGCTGCTGTCCAGAGCCTCCGGGGCAGCGAGGTAAGGCATTCTTTCCAGCTGGGAGTCCTAGGTAAAGCAATTAGAGGCAAAATTGCTGATGCTCATTAAACATTTAGAATTTAAGAGATCAGTTTGTAATTACTGGCAGTTTGAATGAGTTGCATTTTAACCTCTTTTTATAAGCACAAACCGTGTTATTTATGCTCTGAAGCAGAGATGGGAGGAGAAGGAAGTGGTGTTCTTGAGTTCTAACTGTGGAGGAGATGGGGGACACAAGAGATGACAAGAAATTCTGCTTTCACTGCTTATTGAATTTCTCAAGGTTGTACACATGTATGTTTCTGAATTGTTCAGATTTATGGCAGATGCTTGGTCTAGTCCCCAAGGCTCTAGCCCTGGACCCAGGAAAGCTAAAGCAGCATTTGATGAGTTGGGCCTGCTTCCTTTATCAGGTGTTGCCTTCAGAACAGGGTTAGGCCATAAACCAACTCTGAAAACACTGTAGAGTTGCCTCTGGCAAGGTAGTGTTAGCATGAAGCAGAGAGTTGTAGAATTTTCTAAGTATTCTGTTCTAAAAATAACAGAAGTGGAAAGGGAGAGGGGATGCTTTGGTTTTTCTTGATTATGCATTTGGGCAGAAGTAAAAATCAAAACTACAAATTTTCATTCTTAGGAAATGGGAATTACTAAGAATAAGCAGGAATGCACCCAGCTGGTACCTGTCTAGGAAGAAGGACTTTGAGATGAAGAGGTTGTGGACAGCAGATCTCTGGGCATTGTTAAGGCACTGAAATATAGAATATTGGCCCCAAGAAAGAGACTGTCCAGACCTAACTGATCAGAGAAGAAACTGTAAACAGTGCTTTTAATAATTTGTCTTTTTGACCCCAGGTTCTCTGTCATTTTTTTATTCTTTGGTGCTGTGATCCTCACATCAGTTCTGTTGCTTTTCCCACGAGCTGATGAATTCCCAGCCCCAGAGGTGGAAGTTAAGGTAAAGCTGTTGGTTTCGTTTTGCCTCCTGAGCTGTAACTCTTACTTCTCTTGGTCTGCACGTCTACTCTGCCCTCGATGCTCCCTGACATTGGGCTGCCTGAGATGTCAGAATTGTAAAGTTCAACCAATGATGGGGAAAGTTCAGAGGGAGTTTAAAGTTTCTCTGCCCCTTCACTAAGGAAAAGAATCTAACTCTGAATTCCTCCTGCAACCCCACCAGGCAGTTATTTGCCTGATTTGGTCTCAACTCTAGTTTGCATCAGGTTGAAAACAGCCTGTTGGAAAGCCACCTCATACCATGGGGACCGAGAAAGAGAAAATGAAGTAGGGATAGTCACAGGCCTGCACTTGAGATGGAAGTGTTCCCATTCCTGGCAGCCTGGGCTCCTCACCTCAGATCCTGGGCTGAAGTTGATGCAGTGCCCTGAGGGTGCAAAGGACATGTGCTAGAATTTTCCTAACAGTTTTCTGGGAGTTCTTTCGTCCTCATGCCTGGGACCATACCTGCCAGCACCCAGAATTTAAAAATTCTTTAAATGAATTTTGATTATCTCTCTCCTAGTCCTTCTCTGGAGTTGTGGTTCATTCCTGATTTGGGGCTCCAGCTTTACCATGTATGGCTGGTCCCAGACCCATGGGATCTTCGCAATGGCTTTGACCTCTTCTGTCCCATTACTCCTCACAGCTTTCCTCTCAACCTTCATTTCAATATTTTAAGTAATGATCATGAAAATAGCTAACATTCTTTAAGGGATTTCTATGTGTCAGGTCCTGTGCCAAACACCTTGTTTGCACTGTCTCATTTAAACCTCAGGACAGCCCTAAGTAGTAGGACGTAGGTGCCATTATTAGCCTCATTTTACAATAAGAATACTGAGCCTGTAAGAGGTTAAGGTAACTTGGTCAAGGTCACATAGCAAAAGGCAGAGCAAGGATTCAAGCTGAGGTCCGTCTTCAAAATCTTCATTGTTCAGAACCTAATAGAATATCTGGGGCTGTCCCAGAGAGCTCATTAGCATTTTGACACTAGCCAACAACAGTACACAAGGTTATACATGTAACTTTTGAACTAAAATTGACACTCTAGGATTAACCATGGAAAGAGGAAGGGAATTCATTCTGAAAATTCCAAGGGAAATAGTACTTAACAGACTTAAGAAACTGTTTCCAAGGACGCCAGTTTGTTGTCAGCATTTGGAAAACACTCTGGAGGTGTGAGTGCCACGTATGTGAGCCAGGGGTAAATTCCCACCTCATTTTCCTTGTCTTTGAAGGGGGAGAGTGAAGTAGGCTGCCACATTTCTGGATGCCGCCGACATAAACACTGGGAGAAGGGCAGAGAGCAAACACATTTTTAAATCCAATCCCTCGATTCTCTGCCATGCAAGTTTCAGACCCAGGAGAGAAGAATGGGGTTTGAGCAAAATACGTTTGTCAGCATGGCCAGCAGAATTGGAGTTCTCATTTTCAGGGTTTGAGAGCCGGCCTCTGCAGCAGCCTGGCTCAGTGCTATATCAATAATACATGGCCTGGGCCTTCTGCACCCAAGGCCTGCTAATTGGCTAATTAAAAAGTGAAACCTGTCGTACGAGCAAACATGTGGCCCACAAGAGACTTGTTCAGTACTGGAGCCAAGGTCAAAGTTATGTTAAAGCTGTTTTATCAAACTGACCTTTGTTGTAAGTTGACTATTGGGGTAATCTCTGGAGCAGCTGAGGTGTCTTTGGATCTCAGTGATCCTACCAGGGCTCGGGTCTAATAGGTGTTTTGCATATGGCTGCTGTATTAGTTTTCCATTGCTGCTGTAACAAATTACTGCAAACTTATGGCTCACAACACAGATTTATATCTTACAGTTCTGTAGGTTAGAGTCCAAAATCAGCCTCATTGGGCCAAAAGCAAGGGGTTGGCGGAGCTGCATTCTTTCTGGAGGTTCTAGGGGAGAGTCCATTTCCTTATCCTTTCTAGCTTCTAGAGGCTGCTCATATTCCTTGGCTCACAGTCCCCTTTCTCCATCTTCAGAGCCAGCAACATCACCCCTCACTGACCACTTCAGTTCTCACCTCTCTTGCTCTGACCCTGTCTTCCACCTCTGTATTCAACTTGGAAGGATCCTTGTGATTACACTGGGTCCACCTGGATTGGATAATCTAGGCTAATCCTATTTTAAGGACAGCTGTTGGCAATCTTAATTCTCCTTTAACATATAATCTAACATGTTCGCAATTTCTGGAGATTAGGATGTGGCTATCTTTGAGCCATTATTCTGCCTGCCACAGTTGCCTTTCAGGTGTTTTGGATTCTCTCCTAGGTACTGGGATTTCAAAGCTTCTGTGAAGTCAGTCAGCCACCTGGTTTGTGTTATTGCTCTAATAGGTCTGTAGATTAAATTGCTTTTCCTATCCAAATATAAGCACCACCATTTGGATCTAGGGAGAGTAGAGCTCTGGCAGGGGACAGCGGACAAGTGGGTAGAGCCAACACCAGTTATAGGTTTTTGTCAGCAAAGACCAACATCTTTGGGGCCTCAAGTGTAAGGCCAAGCGGCCCACTGTCTGATTTGGGGCAAGTTACCTATCCTCTTAGTGTTTTAGTATCTCAGGCAAGTGGCCATTTTCCTTCCCCTTGGCAAGGGACTCTTCTGCTGATCGCTTTAAAGAGTTCTCTTTAATTTCGAAAATGAACCCTCCTGAAATGGCAATGGATTGATGATTTTGGGAGTTGGGTCCTCGACATGGGGGGTTATTATACGATTGTATTTTTATGTATGTTTAAAATTCTCTGTAATAAAATGTGTTTTAACAACAACAAAAATGAGCTTTTCTAGGACCAAGCAAAAGCTTCTCATTAACTCTTTCAGACAGTGGATTTCAGAATATAATTCATCCAGGGACTTCAAAGTGTTTACCAACCTCCTAAATTGAGTCATTTGTTCCCTGTACCTCATTAATCCCTACTTGACCTGTGTCTCCTGCTCAGGGAGTTGAGGAAAAGATTCTTTTTTATCCATGTGAAGAGGAGACTCAGGGCAGGATGTTATTGGGAGTTACAAACATGAACAAACTCTTGGCCCATTCACCACAGAGTTCAGGTTAACCCAGCCAGAGTGCGTAAGTGGTAGTAATTTCATTTTGATGTTTTCTTTCTCCAGATTGTGGATGACTTTTTCATTGGCCGCTATGTCCTGCTGGCTTTCCTTAGCGCCATCTTCCTTGGAGGCCTCTTCTTGGTTTTAATCCATCATATTCTGGAGCCCATCTATGCCAAACCACTGCGCTCCTACTGAACACTCTTCAGGAAAATGAAAACCTGTTCTCTTCTTCATTGTGATGACATTGATGAGCAGAAAGGCACTATTCAGAGCCCTTGTTTTGACAGCCCTCGTGCCTTAAGATTAGAGGAGTATCCGTCCATCACTAAGACAAATCTCTTGAGTCCTGGCTTCCAGAAACAGAATTGCCAAATTGTCTCTGTGGGGCTAGATTCTCACCAGCTTAAGAAGGATATTGCTGTCTTTTTAGTATTCGTATCTTAGGATTTCCGACTGTTTTGAAAGGGAAATAGTAATGATGATCTGCTTAGAGTGGATTTCCAGCCAAGTCCTTAGTAAGTGGATTTTGGGGAAAAGACCTCATTGGCTTCTGGTTCTTTTTGATAATATATAAAATTCTTCATTAGGAGGTTGCAGTCATTTGCAAAGGAAAGGCACTCAAATTCAAAAGGTTATTTAATGTGATAATTTGGAAGACTTGCTCAAATGTTGGTCATTGACCACTCTGTGCATATATTTCCACAGAGCTCTATAAAGGCAATGAGTATCACTTCCCTCTGCTCTAATAAAGCAATAAACAATAGCTAAAGGGCTGACTTTCACTTTGAAATTTTGGCCACAGCTTTTTGAATCAAGTATCTTTAGGTTTCCTTGGGATTAGAGGAAAGATATGGAAATATCTTTTTCTTTTGTTTTTGTTTTTTGTCCTCCTATGTATCTGCAGGGTTTTTTTCTTTCATGATGGGGTGGGCTCTGTGTGCCTTACTTAATTACCATGAGTTCATTTTTGGGGGTCTTCTCTTTTCATCTTTGTAGCCCTTTCTCCAAAGCTAGTGAGGAAGGTATATTCTTAACATTAGATATAACTCTATACCTGTCTGATCTCCCAGACCAAGTGAAATTTGCATTTAATGGAGGGGCTCTGGTCAGGTTCCACTTTGGAAGTCTGATCCTGACTCTCTAGAGCCATTTGAAAAAGAGTCTTCTGTCTTAAAATTAAGAACCAAGAAAACAAGTTGGAAGGAGAACACTGATGGAGTACATGCTCTATGCTAGTAGCACACTAATTTCTTTGAGGTTTAATTTATTTAATTTTTACAACAGTCTCATTTTTATCATCCCCACTTTAAAGTAGAAAAAAGTGAAGCTTCAAGAGATTAACTGACTTGCCCAAGCTTCATCTAACAGCCAGCTAGCAAACCCAGGTGTGGTAGCCCCCAGGGCTTGTCTCGGAAAGAAAATACACTATGCTTTGTGGAACTCTGATTGAGAGCCTGAGGTAAGTTAAGGCCACTACTCCTTCACTTTCTCTCCTCGATCCTGTTTTCCCAGTAGAGAGGGTACCCAGTCCTGCCACCCCAGAGGCAGCTAAGCTCTAAATTCCAAGAGGAGAGAACAGGTAATCGTTGAGAGTTATGGGCTGGTGAGGGCCAGGTATAGTTAGCCCTACGTTGAACAGTCTTTTTTATCTTATTTTGGAAAAACTTCGCAGATAAGGCTTTGTACAGAAAGCTTCAAAGAAAATAGTTTCCTAATCTGGCCTAGGGCACACAGGGAAGAAAAGAAGAAACATCTTCTAAACAGACTGAGGAAAAGAAAAAAGAATGCATGCATCTTGAGGGAAGTGAGACAAGCTGGGGCCCTCATGCTATTGTGCTTCTCTGTGAGTCTCCATCCAGCCCAAGTGGAAGCTTGGCTCCTAACAAACCCAGGGTGCCAATTGTTACCTTCTTCTGAGAGCCTTGCTGAGAAAGTAACTCTGGGAAAAGTATTATAGGTTCCTGACCATCTTTTTCATTCTCCGAAAAGATTACTCAACTATTAGATCAATGCATAATAACTATGAGATTTTGGGTGACTATTTAGATGGGGGAAAGTGTATTAAGGTTGGAAACTAAATTATATCCTTAATACTACTGTTTTCAAATGGGTTTTTTTTTTTTTTTGTATGATGTAAATGACAGGCTTATATGTTAAGGACTGGCTTTAGGCAAAAAAAAATATACTTTGTGCAAAGTTTATTTCCGCTTGACCTACCGTCTACAGACCTAGAGTCTATAATTACCAGCTGTGGTGAAATGAATGATAGATTTCTTTCTACCTTCATACTCAAAGCAGTTATGCAAAAAAAAAAAAAAAAAAAACCTGAGGGATTGGGATAAGACATAGAAGGCTGAGAGGGCTCAAATTGAATTTCACTGAGAGTTTGGCGTGGAACAACCCTATAGTCAATTTCTGGTATGGCACCCTGTATGCTCGTAGCCTTCTTGGAGATAGGGCTCAGAGGTCATTCCTTAAATACAGACAGAAGTCATCTCAGTGTTCCAGAACCATTCTTTGATCAGTGACCTTAAAGCATGTTCCTGCCTATACTGTTCCCTATCCAGAGGGGATCCTGTGGCAGACTGGGGATCCCCACTGTTGAGAAGGTGAAGAGGGAGAGTAAATCTGGGTTTCTATATAAGAAAATAGGTCATTTCATAGCTTCTTAAAATTGTATCCTGATAAAAGCTGAATTAGCAGGATACCACCCTATCCCACAATGGATATCACAATAGGTAATTTTTTGATAAGTTCCTTAAATTTTTCACATATAAAAATGGAAGTAAAGCTAACATTCTTTGTGTACAATGTAAATTTAATGTAAAACTGCATCAGAATTACCATACCAATGTCCAGGCACTAGGGAGTGCATAACCATTCCTTCACACATCCTGCCATTCATTCAGCATTTATCATGTGCCTGGAGGGTGGAAAGCACTAGTCCTGGCAGAGTAAGCCCACCAGGGAACTAGGCTGTGAGGTGTGTAGACTGTCTTCCTCACTCCATCCCAGAAGGAGGGCATCCAATTTATTTTTAAATGTTTTTATTCTAACATAAAGCAATCCATTTCTTGTTCTGTTATTTAACAGAAACTTTTGTATCAACTCTATTTCATGGTCATTGCAGTTGAAGTGTTTCTGGTTTATTTTTTGCTCAATGTGTAGAGAAACCTGCTGCGATTATTTTACAGATGAGAAACAGGCAGAGAGGACAAGGGATTTAAAAAGTTTCACAGTTAATTAGAAGTGGGGCTCAAACTTGACATCAGGATCCTAACATCTCATTTCTCAAATAGTTTAAAGATCACTTTTGGCTTTCAAGCAACTCCTTATTTTTACATTGGTGAATACTATTTCTTAGCTATTTGTACCTGACATTTTCCTAACACATATCCAAAAAGGTAAAAGTTTTATTAAAGGATTCTAATGATCATTTATAGTACAACTAACAAACATTTGATCACAATTCCTTTGCTTAAACCTTTAAGTATCTAGCTGTTACACAGAAATGAATTTCCAGATGTGAGAATCAGAACCGTATGGAAACAAATCTGGAAAAGTGTTGATTATCCTCATAGGAGCTTAGGAACTCAGGATCGGAAGAGATTTTACAGTTCATAAAGTTCAACCTTTAATCTCTATTTCCATCCCAATACTTGGAAATAAGTCTAGGGTTCCACATGTCAAAATTATAATTTTTATTAAATTTAGCAAACATGTGCTAGGCATTTTTCTAAGTGTGTTATATTATGTCTTCCTCATATTGGCCCTATGAAGTAGGTACTGTTAGTATCCCCTTTTCACAGATGGGGAACAGGCATAAGCTGGTAGGGTAAACAGGAGTCAGGATCTGAAGTCAGGCAGTTTGCTCTAGAGTTTAAGAGCCTGACTACTTTCTGTTTTAGGGTGTTGCTCCATAAGATGAACATGAAGGAAATGCAAATCCATTTGACAGAAATACCAAGGCTGGTGGAAAAACCAGAATCTTAGGAATTGTGGAGTCTGGGAGAAAGCCATGAACAGGCACGCAGGCCTCAGAGATAGCTTCACCCCATTAGCCCTGCGTTTCTGGCAGGTCTTTGCTAATAGACTTTGGTTTTCCCCTTGCTCAGAGATACTAAAACAGCTGAGCAACTAGTAGACTTGGTTTTCAAGTTTCAAGAACACTGCAACCTCTCTCATAAGCACCATCCAGCTGGAATGTAGAGACTTGGGCTGGTTTTCAGAGGTACCAATGGCAGAATCAAAGCCACATACCAGGAATGTTTTGTTTTGTTTTCTACTTGATCTCCATCTCTAGTAGATCATTGGTGGTGACTGTTAATGCAAAAAAGAAAAAAAAAATTCGGAGTCCTTACCCCCCACCCTCTTTCTCAGTTTCCTGCCACCAAAGAAATGCTGGGATCAAAATCAGGCTCACTGCCACAGACAGAATGAGAAAGTGTGTTTTTAATAGTTTTCGTCATACCCTGCTGGGGATGATACAGCCTGTGCATTTGGCCCAAGTTCACCCTTGGAGAACTCTTGGTTGAGGGGGTCACACAGTAGCCCTTATGCCATGGCTAAGTGCTACAGGCCAGCCCCTTCACTTGTTTTAAGCTTTGGGGAATTTCTTTTGTTTACCTGTGGTTTTCTTCCTGCCTTTAAATTGGTTGTGCCCCAGTTTTACACTGGGAATATTATCAATTTCCTATTGCTGTTGTAACAAGTTGCCATAGACTTACTGATTTCAAACAATTCACGTTTATAGCTCTGGAGGTCAGAAATCAGAAATGAGTTTCAGGGGATAAAAAAAGGCTTTGGTGATTCAGGAGAACCCATTTCCTTGCCTTTTCCACCTTCTAGAGTCTGCCCCCTCCCACTGGCTGGTGGACCCTTCCTCATTCTTCAAGGCCAGCAGAGTAGCATCTGCCAATCCCCGACACCCCTGTGATTTATACGGAGCCCAATGTGTTTCATATGGAGCCCTGCAGTTCCACTGGGTCCACCCTGATCAGTCTTCCCATCTCAAGATCCTTAGTCACATATGCAAAATCTCATTTGCCATGGAAGGTAACATTCACTGGTTCTGGAAATTAGGATGTGGACATCATGTGGTGGCACACTGTACCTACCACAGAATATAGGGCCCCTTCTCCATCTCTAAGCATGGCCTCCTTCCACCCCCATCTGCCATCCTCCACTCCCACACCTTTAAGTAGGAGGTCTGCTCCTTTGTTGCTTCTTAGGATTCCCAGCAGCCATTCTCCCCCTACTCAGACACCCAGGGTGTGCGGAGTTCCTCCTGCCAGCCTCAGTCTTAGTGGTGGCCTCATGGTGCTAGGACCAACCAACAGCTTCTTTCCCTTTCTTTTCTTTGCCTCTTGCCTCCTCCTCCTCCCCCAGCCACCCCACACACACTCACGCAGCCTCCCAGTGGATCTCTAAGGAAGAAACGCAAAGAGTTATTGCTTTTTAATTACAAGTACTATTGTAGCATCTATAAGGAGGAACATTTTAAGCTTAATTGAGACCAAATGTGAAGTTAAATTAAATGAATAACTAATTAACGTAATGCTCCTACATTAGCCTGTATGAGTGAGTGCTGAGGCCCAGGGAGAAGGCAGGTACCAGGCTTCTGGTGAACAGGCCATGCCCAGAGCTGCCCGAATGGGGCTGGGAACTTGGGACCTGGGATATAGGTACAGACAGGCAGATCTCAGGGCTGGGGTTCCCCCACCTTTGGTATTTTTCCCAACTCTCTACCCACAGCCTAAGTCC